AGTCTTTGAGCATTTCCTTGCTTTCTGGCACAACATGTTCTTTAAGCTGACCTTGTGCCTACCTTAGACCTGGAATTTCTCTAAGGAGCCATGGTTCATTTTAACGGGGAATAGTACTTAGAAACAAAGATCTGGGCGGTAAGTGTGCTGACTGCCATGGGTACCATTGCTTCTAGATCTGTTCAGTGGATAGAGCTGGGAAATATGTCTATATATATGTATGAATGTATGTAGTGTTTTTTTTAAATCATGAGTTAATACTGGTAACTCTAATTCAAATCCAACACTACAAGGGTATTCCATTTTGTATCTCCCGATATTTCATTTTGTATTTCCTTTCCCATACAATGAGTAACCTGGTTCCAAACAGTATCAGTATATTTACTCATTTGCTCTTTCATATAATACACACTAAAATGGTTTCATAATTATATCAATATCACTACTAATAACAAACTAGGTAAAGTTCAAAGTTTTGTCCTTAGGATTTATTCCACTAAGAGTATACAGAATTCTGGGTTCAAAAGTTACATGAATGCTTTCCTTCTGGTTATCTGAATAGTTTGATATACAGTTAAGTTTGTTGATTCCATTTGTGTTCAATTTTAATGTTTTCTCTATTTCTTGGTTTTTTATTTAATTTTATGTTTTTGAGTATGTAAAAATGTTAACATGGTTCAGAAGTCAAAGCTATACAGAAAGTTCTGCACTCCCATCCCCTCTGCCCTGTTCCCATCTGTTCTCTGTAGGCAACCATGTTCATTTGTTTCTGGTTTATTCTTTGCAGAAGTAAATCATAAGTATGTTTTTATATCTCCTTTTGTATACAAAAGAAGTACACTATACTCTTTTGCATTTTGCTTTTCTATTTCCTTTATTTTAATTTAAGGCTCTGACTTCTAGTATATCATACAATATTGATGCTAGAATACAGCATTCACAGTAAATTAAGCAATAATGACAGAATATAATATGCTACCTTAGAGTGAATTGCTTCACTTTTTAAAACTTTATCTGTTTTTTAAACTTTAACTTATCTGGTCATTAGGTATTTTAAGGGTCATACTACTTGAAAAGCAAATTCTCATAACTTATGGCCTTCCTTGCCTTAGTTGGCAGAATGACACAAAATACACGTATAGCACACTTAATTCTTTGGGGAAAGATTTCAGCACACTCCCAACACTGAGAAAACATACATGGCATAATGGAAATAAGCCTGGACTAGAGTCGGGATAGTCTTCTGGGAGGCACTGCTGTTCTGGGACCACTTTGAGTTGACTTCTCAGGATGAGTTTTTTAGATCATTCAGGTGGCATGAGTTAGGGCTGTAAATCCACAATGGGGGCAGTTTATGCTTAGATATTTGGGGGAGAGATTTTTCTCCCACCAAAGAACACTGAGACAGAAAGGCAAGTTCCTTTTTTCCTTCTGTAGAGATGAGCTTTTTGGGGTTTTGTTTGTTTTTTTTAGCCTGTCCTTATACAGAATGTAATGCAGAGTGTCACCCTCCTTCCAGGGTTGGGCTCCAGGCTTTGTCTTCTGTCCCCTAAGCCCCTTGCACCCTCAAGCTTAAGGAGGATTGAGGAGTCATCTCAGGCAGTCAGCTTCAACTCTTGCTAACTTCCTGTCTTCCTGTTTTTACTTGATTTTTGACCTCTGAGGATTTTACTTTCTTACCAGCTCAGAGATAGAGGATAAGTTGAACCTCTAGTCAGTCATACTTCAGGAAATGGAAACTTTGATAATTCACAAATAGAGTAGTAGTATTGGTCTTTGATGGCCATTCCTGTCTCAGAACTTCTGTAGTTCTTTATATTTATACAGGACCTAGCCATGCTTTCAGGTTCAACTCAAGTTATACCCTCCCCCACAAAGCTTTCCTTGATTACCCGAGTCAACACTGACCCCTTTTATGAGGAATATTATACCACTCTTTGGCCCTGTTGACCAACAGATACTGCTGACTGATGCTTTTTGGTTAATTATATACACATATTTAAGCTTAATGGTTAAAGATTTCAGTTTCTAAACTTCCAATAAACTGATTGGTTTAAAAGTGTATGCTTATAGTAGCAATTTCTTTATGGTCATTGTTCAAACTTGTTACTTTAAGCTTCTTTATAACTTTAGCACTTTCTTTTCAGGTATATGGAACAGACTGTCATAGACTGATTCTGATTACATAGAAGTTAAACTCAGCTTCTAGTCCTATCTCATCTTTTTTATGTATATATACACTCCTAACCTATACAGTCCATTAACATTCTCATTTTGTTTTTTTAGAGGGGGAATAACAAATCCTGGTTTGATAAATGTTGTTTTTAAATTTTTTCTTTTATAAAAGTAATAGAACTACATTTCTAGTACTCAATAACAATAAAAATAATATAGCCAATTTGTTGAAAATTTTAAAATATTTTTAAAAACCTATAATCTGATTGTTAGCATTTTGATAATATTTGTCTAGTTCTAATGAGTTTTCATGCTAGTTATGATACTGCTTTTTTCATTTAACATTACACCTAAGAATTTCCTAGTGTCAACTCTGATTTTTGTATTTGAATCAAAGGAATAAAAGTAGTTTGTAAATTGAGGCAGTACAAGGAAGCAAAATGAAATATGTCTCCCTCCCTCACCCGTTACCAGGACCTTCTCCCCTTAGATGATCACTGTCTGTGTGATAGTGTGTGTGTGTGTCTATAATGCACAGAGCATATCTTTACAGAGATGGCATCTTCCTCTACATGCTGTTATATACCTCTTTTTTTCACTTAATGTATCCTACCCACCATTTCATACCAATGAACATTTTTATCATTATCAATATTCCATTATCCCCTATGCTGTCTAGTCCTTTATTGATGGACGATTCTATTGAATGGATATATATGCAAAGCTGTTATACTTTGATCTGCATCTTAGAAAGTTTCTGAACTACCCAGTACCATTTTTGCTATATTATAAACTCCATATTTGATTATATTTCATTATATAATTCTTAATATTTACAAGTTCTGTGTTTCCTACCTGACTTAAAAGGAGAAAGGTATTGTAACTTAAATTTGTTTTAATCCTTCATAACGGAAACATAATGGGCATCAACAAATACATACATGATGGCTTTGCAGCCAGGTTTGGGGTCAGAGTCTTTTTGTTATATGTATGTATGTGCTTCCATTTGAGTTCACCTTTTTACAACAAGTTATTGTCATTTATTTTATCAAGTCAGTTCAGTGGCCACCATATGCAAAGTCTTGGGCCATTTTCTGAAGGAGATGTAAAAGAAGGGTAAGCCATTTCCAGAGTTTACATCTAAGTTGGAAATATAAGAAACACACAAAATTGTGAAATAATAATATAAGGCCAACTTTTGTCGCAGCCTCAACATTATTATGGTTGAACCATAAGAAACTGCTGATATTCAACCATATTGACCTACAGAAAAGGGAATTTCATATGATTCAACCTATTCTGTACTTTAGGATTCTAAGGAGAGAGAAACATGAGCTGGGCCATGAACATCTTTTTTAATAGGTGGAGAAGGTATCATAAGAAAAGGCCTAGGGGCTGGCCCCATGGCCGAGTGGTTAAGTTCGCATGCTCCGCTGCAGGCGGCCCAGTGTTTCATTGGTTCGAATCCTGGGCGCGGACATGGCACTGCTCATCAAACCACGCTGAGGCAGCGTCCCACATGCCACAACTAGAAGGACCCACGACTAAAATATACAACTATGTACCGGGGGGCTTTGGGGAGAAAAAGGAAAAAAATAAAATCAAAAAAAAAAAAAAAGAAAAGGCCTAGGGGCCAGCCCAGTGGCACAGCGGTTAAGCGTGCACAGTTCTGCTTCTCGGTGGCCCGGGGTTCACTGGTTCGGATCCTGGGTGTGGACATGGCACCGCTTGGCACGCCATGCTGTGGTAGGCATCCCACATATAAAGTAGAGGAAGATGGGTACGCATGTTAGCTCAGAGCCAGTCTTCCTCAGCAAAAAGAGGAGGACTAGCAGTAGTTAGCTCAGGGCTAATCTTCCTCAAAAAAACCAAAAAGTACTAATGATGTATTCAAAAATATTCATAATATCAATAAAATTAATTTAAAAAAAAGAAAGAAAAGGTCTAGAGTCTGGAATTAGCATGGCACCAATAGAAGATTATGAGGAAGTAGTTTTAACTTATGTGGGTAACTTTGAACTTTAAAGTTAAGCTGAATGTGAGGTGTGGTGGAAGATATAGTAGAATAGAAAAGGCTGGATTATTTTGGGACTAAAGGTCAAGTGGAGGTAATTTGAACTTCTTTTTTCTCTCTTTCTTGAATTTTTGTCCTTTAAGCCACTGATCCTCAAACTTTAGTGTGCATCAAAACCTCCTAGAGGGCTTGCTAAAACTGATTGCTCAGCCCCACTCCCAGAGTTTCAGATTCAGTATGTCTGGGTGGGGCCCAATAATTTAACGTAGTCCCAGCTGATAGTGATGTTCTGCCAGTGGTCTGGGAACTGTACTTTGGAGAACCATTGCTTTAGGCTATAGAAGAATTACTAAAAATATTTAAGCAGGAAAACACTCCATGAAGTTGCTTTTGGAATATTATGTAGAATTGTGCAGAGTAGGTTGGAAGAAGGAGTGATGACATTAGCATGCCTACTTTATGAACCCATTGTATAAATTATAATGTATGTAAGTAATTATGTAATTCAAGTCATCCCAAGTTATCCCTCACAGTCTTCACCAGTTTCTCTTCTCAGCTCTGTCACCTGACCTAACCTATTTTATTTACTCTGTGCCCTTGCCAAATAGTAAGGAGCCTCTCCTTTTTCAAAAGTTTAGTCTCCTGTTTTTCTTCCCTTTTATTCTCCTTTCCCAAGTGTTAAGGACCATGTTATGAGGTTGTCAGAACCATAGTCTTTTTAGGCATTTTACTCATGTTCATTATTTTGTTTCTGTTTTGGCAGTTTCCTTTCTCCAAATAGAGAAAAACTTTTATTTTCTTTTTATTTCAGAACGGGAAACAGAAGCCCAAGAGCATACTCCAGTTAAAAATATTTCTAAACTCACAAAGGATGGAACCAGGACCATCAAATTGGAAGAACGATTTGACTATGATGACAGATTAGAGAGGCAAGCAACAGATAGCTTCAGGAAAATTCCCACTAATGGAAGAGATTTCAGGTTGAAGTCAGTCCTTTCACAAGAAGATGACCCTACAGAAGAGTGTCTTAGTAAATATGATATATATAGAGAGAGTTTTGAAAAGCATTCAAACCTAATTATACAGTTTGGTACCCAATCAGATAATAAAACTTCTGTGTATAACGAAGGCAGGGCAACCTTCAGTCACGTCTCATATGGTATTGTACATAGGAAAATACTTCCTGGAGAGAAGCCTTATAAATGTAACGTGTGTGGAAAAAAGTTTAGGAAATACCCATCCCTCACGAAACACCAAAGTACCCATGCCAAAGAGAAATCTTATGAATGTGAAGAATGTGGGAAAGAGTTCAGGCACATCTCATCCCTTATTGCACATCAGAGAATGCATACTGGAGAAAAACCGTATGAATGCCACCAGTGTGGTAAGGCCTTCAGCCAGCGTGCACACCTTACTATACATCAGAGAATTCATACAGGAGAGAAACCCTATAAGTGTGATGACTGCGGGAAGGACTTTAGTCAGCGGGCACACCTTACTATACATCAAAGGACACATACTGGAGAGAAACCATATAAATGCTTGGAATGCGGTAAAACCTTCAGCCACAGTTCATCACTGATTAATCATCAGAGAGTTCATACTGGAGAAAAACCTTATATATGCAACGAATGTGGGAAAACTTTCAGTCAGAGTACACACCTCCTTCAACATCAAAAAATACATACTGGAAAGAAACCATATAAATGCAATGAGTGTTGGAAAGTGTTTAGTCAGAGTACTTACCTTATTCGACACCAGAGAATTCATTCTGGAGAGAAGTGTTATAAATGTAATGAATGTGGAAAGGCCTTTGCTCATTCCTCAACTCTTATTCAGCATCAAACTACTCACACTGGAGAGAAATCCTATATATGTAACATATGTGGGAAAGCCTTCAGCCAGAGTGCAAACCTTACTCAACATCATAGAACACATACTGGAGAGAAACCGTATAAATGCAGTGTGTGTGGGAAAGCATTCAGCCAGAGTGTACACCTTACTCAACATCAGAGGATTCATAATGGAGAAAAGCCCTTCAAATGCAATATATGTGGGAAAGCATATAGACAGGGTGCAAATCTTACTCAACATCAAAGGATTCATACCGGAGAGAAACCCTATAAGTGTAATGAATGTGGGAAAGCTTTTATTTATTCCTCATCACTTAATCAACATCAGAGAACTCACACTGGAGAAAGACCCTATAAATGTAATGAATGTGATAAAGATTTTAGCCAGAGAACATGCCTTATTCAACACCAGAGAATTCACACAGGAGAGAAGCCCTATGCATGCCGTATATGTGGTAAAACCTTCACCCAGAGTACAAACCTCATTCAGCATCAACGCGTTCATACAGGTGCCAGACATCGTAATTAACACAGGAGACTTCTTTTAGGTTTTACAACTTAATCATTTAAGTTTTATTTTGTACTCTGTGTGTTAAAAATTATTCAAAAGAAGTGCAATATATGTTAGATATTACTCAGCAAAAGTATCAGAATTAGTAACGTGGATATAACCTATTTAAGTTTAATGTGAAATTTAAGAAGAAAACTACATTCACTTCTCAACCTTTATTTGATATCAGTTTAATTCATTCCAGAAAGAAACCGTATGAAAGAGCACTCAAAAATCTGTAACTCACCAACTCTTGCTGTATTTCAACTACTACTTAATGAGGCCTTACGAGTGAAATTTGGGAAAGCTTCCATCAAGTAGAGATTTCACACTAGAGAGTAATCCTGGGATGATAGAAAAGAAAAAGCTGCTTTCAGGCATCCCAGCTTTGAAGCCTTAAATATGTAAAGGGTTCCCTTCCCCTTTTTACTTCCCTGTTCCTATCATGTCATAACTGCCATGTGGAACCAGTAGGTTTGCCCAAAAAAAAAACAGTTGAAAGTACCTTAAAGATTTCTGTGTAACCACTGTTTAATTACCCTTTCCTTTAAATACTGAAATATTAAGGGAAGAAAAGCTTAATGAAAGATCTGTTAGGATAGAGAAACTAATGTTGTGTATATAACTCTTAGACGTGTACAAATTTAGTTAAACCCAAAAATTAAACACCCAAGCTTAATTTAATCTTTAAAACATATTAACCTTAGTTTCACTAGGTTCTGACATCTGTCGTCCTAGAGGAAAAAATAAGAATACAATTCTCATTTTTTTTACCTGACTCCTAAATTCCTAACTTAAGGTTCCCTTTTGACTGTTTTACTGTAAAGAGTCCATTTCTTCCACTGAAACACGTGTTTCTTGAGTGCCTACTGTGCTCAGGCCCAGACTTTGTAATGGGATCCTTTGAGGGCTTGTATATAGTGCTGAGAGTCACAGCTGACGTAAGCAACAGAAAGCTTTCTAAAGTGATGAAAGATAAAGGAAGGACATGGTCTTAATTCCTGGGTCCTGGAATGAGCCTAAGAAACCTGCTAAATGGGTTGCCGAATAGGACCGTCTGTCCCAAGACAAGAAAGTAATGGAAGCAGCTATTTAAATAGTGTGAGGATAAGTAAGTAATGGGAAATAGCTTTGAGATCACTGTGGAAAGTGGGTCAGGAAAACATCAAGGTGAAGACTTAACAGTGAGGAAAGAGAATATACACAGCTAACGGTTATAACATGTTATTGGACTTGATTTACCTGAGAAAATAAGAGTGACGAATTAAAAAAATCAGCCTGTTGTTTATATAAGAAGAAACTAAAAATGAAATGACTGATTTTAAAGGAATAATTAGAATTGGTACTTCTTCATACGTGTAAGTAAAATGGGGATTACTCTTAAAAATATCAGAAAAAAATTTCATTGGAAAAAGCATTGATGCAGAAATATCATTGATGGCAGATCATAACTGAGTTTGTGTGGTCCTAAACAACATAAAAGGAAAACTAGCAGAAATAGAAATAGAAATAGGTCAAAATACTACAGTAGTCCCCCCTTATCTGCGGTTTTGCTTTCTGTGGTTTCAGTTGCCCACAGCCACAGTCCAAAAATATTAAATGGAAAATTCCAGAAATAAACAATTCATAAGTTTTAAATTGCGCACTGTCTGAGTAGCGTGATGAAACCGTGTTGCCGTCCTACTGTGTCCCACTCGGAATATGAATCATCCCATTTGCTGGATCCCCAACCATCGACATGGTCATGGCCCGATGATCCTCCTCCTGACATATCAGAAGGTCAGTAGTAGCCTACCGCTATGTCACAATGCCTACGTCATTCACCTCTCTTCATCTCATCACATAAGCATTGTGTCATCTCACATCATCACAAGAAGGGTGAGTACAGTACAATCAAATCTTTAGAGAAGGACCACATTCACATAACTTTCATTATAGTATGTGTTCTATTTTATTGTTAAACTTTTATAGTACCCTAATTGTAACCTTTATCATAGTAGGTATGTATAGGAAAAAAGTAGTACATATAGGTTTCAGTACTATCCACAGTTTCAGGCATCCACTGAGGGCCTTGAACACGTCCCACATGGATAAGGGGGCACTCCTGTATTGTATTTAATATCCACAGCATTCCACTATCAGAATATAAGACCATATACTGAGAGCTGAGATTTTATCTTTTGTTTCTTCAGTGCCTTGCGAATGGTGGTCAATGTGTGTTGGTTGAATTAATGAATAAATAAGTAGAGTTGAGTAACAACGTAAAATTAACATATGGAGTGAAATTGGTAGAATTTAAAATACTTTTTTGTGCATACATAAAGAAATATAAATATTGGTGATTTACTGGGTAATAGGAACTTAAAAATGAAAAAGCAGAATCCCCAAATCTTAACAATGCGGATATTCCTAAAGAGATCATGGGACATCTTTGCACAGGGAGTTTTCCTGAGCTAGGTGAGGAAAAATTGATAGAAATCCTGGTGCTGTGAATATCAGTTTAAGCACATGTTGACCATGCAGCTTCATTGGGACGTTACTGTTTTTATAAACATCCTACAAACAGGTGCTGAAGGGAAGACCTGGGTGCTAGCATCTTAAAGGCTTTCTTGTTGAGTCTTTTCTTCAAGAAGTTGCTTTCTGTCATCCTCACATTAGTTAACCTTGATGTCGTGGAATCATCACAAAGTGTAGATTGTCTCCAGATTGCATAACACTCAGGTTATGCTTATGCCGTAGTAATGTTAAAAAATAACCGTTGTAGTTAAGATGCAGTTTTTATAATGCTACTTCACAGCTTACACCACACGTTTTTCTCCTGGAGTGAATGTGTGGAGTATTCAGCATCCATAGCCCCTTTCTTTGCATTCATTTGTATTTCCTGCCTTGGTGTGTTTTATGTAAATAATGCATTTTATAAAGTCTTCCACTGAGGCAACTGATGCCCTATAAAATAATGGGATAATAATGATAGAATCCTAGATCTTTGTCTATTTTTCCCACTTTTATAGTTGTCTAACCCACATGTAATTCGCTTTTTAGAAAAGTCTTATTTTCCACAACTTTTGATTATGAAAATGTTCAAATAGAAAAGTTAAATAATAAAACAAACTGTATATCCACCATCCAGATCAAAAATTAACATTTTGGCATATTTTTTAGTGAACAATTGGAAAGTAACTTACAGACAGGACATTTAACCCCTAAAAACTGAAGCACGCATCTCATAAAAAAAAAGACAGGCTTTTACACAGCCACGCTACTGTTACACACCTCAGAAATGAAAGTAATTCCCTGATAGCTAATGCTTAGTCCTTGTCGAAGTTTTCCCTGTTGATCTAGTCAAGTTTCACACGTTATATTTGATTATTATGTCTGTTTCATCTGTCTAGACAGTCTCCCACCTTTGATTTTTTTCCAGGACTTTTTTTTTTTTTTTAAATAGAGCACAGGTCAGTTGTAGAATGTCTCACATCCAGGATTTAACTGCTTGTTTACATGTCGTTTGTTTATCTTGTTCCTGTAGTTTCTATAAATTAGCAGTTAGGGCCAAAGGCTTGATGAATTCAGGTTAAACTTTTTTTTTTAAGTATGCCTTTTTTTTTGGTGAGGAAGACTGACCCTGAACTAACATCTGTTGCCAATCTTCCTTTTTTTTTTTTCTTCCTCCCCAAAGCCCCGGTACATAGTTGTATATCCTAGCTGCAGGTCATTCTGCTTCTTCTATGTGGGATGCCACCACAGCATGGCCTGATAGGCAGTGTGTAGGTCCGCGCCCAAGATCCCAACCAGCAAATCCTAGGCTGCCGAAACGGAGCATGCAAAGTTAACCAGTCGGCCATGGTGGGGGGGCAGGTTAAACATGTTTCCGTTAACAGTTCACAGATATATTTCATATTGCATCACATCCAAAGTCTCATTAATATCCACTTGACGCACTGTCACTGATGCAGATTTGATCACTCAGCTGAGGTGGTAACCACCGCATCTTCTTAACGTAAAGCTATGTTTTTCTTGTTGCAATTAAATAATCTGTGGACTGACACTGGCAGCATATGGACAGCCTGTTTACCAACAACCTTTCATCTGGTGGTTTTGGTCTCCAATGATGATGATCCTTGCCTGAATCAGTTACTTCATCAAGATTTGCAAAATGGTGATTTTTCTAGTTCTGTCACTTTCTGCATTTACTGACTAGCATTCTTCTGTACAGAGGAGCTTTCTTTCATCAACTGGGAATCCACTAGAGCCAGGGTCATGCTCGGTTCTTTTCCTTTAATTATCAGTTTTCAGAGTAAGGAGTTGGCAGTGATGACAAATGATTCCATGTGTTACAGTCAATTTATGATTATTGTTTCTGATGCTCAAGTATACCAAATTTGGCCAGTTGGAACCATTCAAGTAGCTCTTAATGTCTTTTGACATTCCCTCTCTAGTCTTTGGGCACTTAACTTGCCTTCTAATACAAGACAGCTCAGGTTCACCTTGCACTTTCAATGCTACAGATATGGAGTGAGCCATTTCTCCAGGAATCCCTGGCTGTTTTTAATAGGCAACTATTTAGAAACCAAGATCTGGGCACTAGGCATGCTCAATGCTGCTGGGGTGTCATTAGCAAGTAGCCTTTGACTCTACAACAATTCAACTTAGTTTCCATAAAGACTACTGTTTGCACTCATTTCATCAGTTACATAGTATCTCATTGTGTATTGGGAAATATAATCACATGCTGGGACAAACTATTTTAGGAGCAAACAACTGAGTCTTGTTAAGCCTGCAACTAAACTGAAGAGAACAGAAGTGTTATGTGTGATAGAAGAAAGCAGCAAACTTAACCACAAGAGGTCTTGTGCCAAGGCCATGAGCAACTTTTACAGAGGGAGGGAGCTTCTTGGGTAACCTGGCAAGCAGGTTAAGTAGAGAGCAGTTAAGACAGCGACTAAATGCATGATACGTGCTATATTGTGTTTTAACCATTGCATATCTTGATAATTTACTGTATTTATAAGCTAATCACACTCCTTTCCCATCACATTCCTTAAGGCAAATTTCTGATCTAAATTTGAATTCTAAGGGTCTGTTTCATGTGAATCTAAGTACTAGTTGTTCTTGCTAAGCTTTTATTTGGTGCTTAAAACTTTGAGACTATTAGATTTCATTCTTTGACTATATCTTCTGGTATCAATTTACTTGTATGTGCCTGTAAATATACTTAGTCTTCTATTTCTGTTATTCTCCTCAGGACTCTATATTTCTCTATAATCATTAGCCCCTTAGAAACTATAAGCCATTAAAAATGGCAAGCATGTGCACTATAGTGATACATATAAATATGTGTGTAAGCTTGTAAGCAACATTGAGTTCTGTGTGTGGATGGGGAAAGTGATGCCCATGATGCTGAAGTGGCTTTCCTGAGGTCATATTGTCATACAGTGACAGAATAAGGATTGGAACCCATGGCTCCAGCACTTAGTTGAGTTATTCCTGGAAAATAATGTTAAATGAAAATTCAGAGCACAAAAAGTATGTACCTACAATTTTATAAAATTACGTATTTTGATGAGATTAGAGCATTGAAAGTTTTGTTTTGTCTCCCCTCCCATAGAGTTTCTTAAATTCAAATCTTTAAATGAGAATAGCCCAACAAAGAATGCACTCCCCCGCTTGGTCTCCCACCCAGATCTTTCCCACATTTCAGAACCATGTAGTCATTGATCACCTGGAACTATCTCACAGGTACCTTTAGTGGTTTAATCTAAAACTAAATTGTTTTCACCCCAAAACCTCTTTTTTAATTCACCGTAACTTTGACAGGGAAGCCAGGAGCCACCCTCTTTACCACTAGTTATTTTAGTCCTACTGGTGTTACCTCCTGTATATTCCAGTTCATTCTCTTCTCTATCCCCCTGCCGCTACCTCATTTCAGGCTTTTAATTGGCTCTCATTTAGATTATTTCATACCCAGGTTAGCGTTCACCCTGCCCCTGACCTCAGCCCTTTCAGTGTATCTTCCACACTATTGCCAGGGTCATCTGAGAACATCTAACTAGGACCACCATGTACAGCTGTACAGCTTGAGTAGTGCATAGCCATACAAAGGCCCAGCATTGGACCAGGTCTCAGTTTGCTTCAGTATCTTCTCATTGTCAGCAGCAAATGGATCTCACTCTTAGCCACACATAGAATGACTTGGGGAGCTTTAAAATCACCAATGCCAAGGCCCTGCTTCCAGGAATACTGGTTTATTTGATTTGGGCTGGGGCTTGGACATCAGTCTCTCTTCAGTTCCCCAGCTGGTTCTCATGTTCTAAAGTGGAGCGAGGGCAGAAGCAGAGAGACCAGTTAGGGAGCTATCACCATGATTCAGATGAGAAATAGTGGTGGTCACAGTAGAGGTAGTGAGAAGTGACTCAACACTGGAGAGAGAGAGATTGTGTGTGTGTGTGTGAGAGAGAGGAAAATTAACCCTGAGCTGACATCTGTGCCAGTCTTTCCTCTATTTTGTATGCAGGTCGCTGCCACAGCCTAGTTTGATGAGTGATGTAGGTCCGTGCCTGGAATCCAAACCTGTGAACCCTGGCCGCTGAAGCAGAGCATGCCAAACCTAACCACTACACCACCAGGCCAGCCCCACAACGCTGGATATGTCTTGAAAGTAGAGTCTATAGGACTTGCTAATGAATTGGACTGGGAAGTGAGACAGGACTCAGGGATGACTTTCTCTCCTACTGGATAATGTGTTCCTACAGGGAGAGACACTGTCATTCATTTCTGTATCTCCTATACCAAGCAGAGCGCCTGGCACATAGTACGCCCTCGGTAAATGTTTGATCAATGCATCTCTGCAGGAACTTTTGCACAATAATCAAGATTGTATTCGCATGTAAAAAAAATTTTTTAAGATTGGCACCTGAGCTAACAACTGTTGCCAGTCTTCTTTTTTTTTCCTGCTTTTTCTCCCCAAATCCCCCCAGTACATAGTTGTATATTTTAGTTGTGGGTCCTTCTAGTTGTGGCATGTGGGATGCTACTCAGCGTGACCTGACAAGCAGTGCCATGTCCACACCCAGGATCCGAACCAGCCAAACCCTGGGCTGCCGAAGCAGAGTTTGCGAACTTAACCACTCGGCCACGGGGCCAGCCCTGTCATGTAAAATTATTTTACATGTCTGTCCAGAACTGTGAAAGGGCTAGGATTTTACCCAACTTACTAGCTAATAAACTAGCCTGTTATTATTGCATAGATACTGGCAGAAGACATGAGATTCCTG